ATGGGAAAAGCAATATAGTGATTATTTAGAGAGAAAGAATATAATAAGAAAGACACAAGGAATGATAAAAATGGAAGAAATGCGAAAAATAGAAGAATGGACAAATAGAAAAGTATTCAATATACTATTTGATTCAGATATTCTATTTGATTCGGATAAAGATGATTGGAATATTGATAATAGGTCAGTAATGATTGGAATAAAAATACATCAATATTTATGATTGGAAAGTTAATACATCAGTGTTTGCCAGAATAATAAATAAAGAACATATAATAATTGTAGTATTGATACGTCAATATTTGAAGAAAGAGTATTGATAAAAGAACATATAATAATTGTTATTGAAGATGAAGATGGAAATAAATTTGGAGGGTATATTAACTCTAAAATTAATAAAGCTGATGCTTGGTTAAATGATCTAAATTCATTTGTATTTTCATTAGAATCAAAAGGAAGAATGAAAGGTATGAAGAAATTTGATATTAAAGAACCAGAATATTCATTTTATTTAAATAACCAAACAACTGATTGGTTGTTTGGAATTGGGAATGGTGGATATGACATTAGTATTCATAAAGAACAAGGTAAGGAAATCTCTTATTGCAAACAAGAATCTTTTGAATATAAAGGAATATCAAATTCACTTTGTGAAAAATTTAATTTCACACCTAAACGATTCATAGTAATTGAAATGAAATAATTTTTATTGTTTATTGTTTATTTTACCTACAATTTAATTAAATATGAAGATAAAAATGATTAACTGGATGAACAATATTTATGAATTATTGTTGATTATTCTTAATGCATTGTGAAATAATATTTAGTGTTTCAATATTGACACAAGATATTGATTAATTTCTCATTACACTCTATTTATTGTTCGTTTATTCATTATAGTATTTCAACAATACATTCATTTTATTATTTATAATTCTAATTATTTTATTTATTGTTTATTGTTTGCCATTATTTATTATTATTATGTTTGTTATTAAATTATAGTAACATCAATAATCTTTAATCTAATCAATTATTTAATAAAATAACGGTTATTTTATTAAATTTTAGTTAATCTATATTTTTCTTAAGTTTTTTAAAATATAATAATTCAACATTATAATTCACAGATAGTTCATTGTTTATTATATCATTTATTATATAAAATTATTATCCATATTATCTGCTGTTATTTATCATATCTTCAATTATCATTGTTTAGTAATTTAATTTTAATTTTATATACTTATTCATTTATTTCAACTATTTTTCTTCTTATTATATTTAGGAGTAAATAAAATATTTCATTGAATTAATATTTATACTCAACTAACTTGAATATTATTTTTTATCTTTAACTCTTTTTCTATTTGAGTTGTATTTTGATTTAAATGATTCTCTTCTTTTCATCTATTTTTATTTTTATTTTTTTTTTTGAATCAACTATTACCTTATCATTTGACTCACTTTTTCTATTTATGTTTAATTATATAAAACGATACTTTACCTTCTGTTTATTATGAATTTAAACCAAAAACATGGCTTAATAATTCTATCTTATTTGATATTTTCTTTTTTTATTGCAAAATTAATATTTCTCTCTTGTTTTATTATGACATATTTAATTTCTATCATCAATCACTGTGTCTGAATTATCTTCTTCATTCTCATTAATATTAATTAACGTTCTTTCTTTTATTTGTTTAAATAATTTCATTATCTGTGGATTATACTTCTTAATTAAATGTGAAGGACTTAAATTATCTCCATCTTTATATTGAATTGCTTCTGAAATGATATGTTTTGATAACAATTTTCTTATTGCTATTCCGAATGCCCTTGTCAGTTCATTTTCAATTGCGGTTTTATTAATTTCAATTGATTTAATCCCAAAGAGTCTTGATTGTTTCAATGTAATATGGAGTTCATTTCTCATTTCTTCATTAACCCATTCACAAATCATCTTCATCATCAGATAACTCACTCTTTTCTTTATTTCAGATTCATCCATTGTGTTATGTATCTCTTTTAATTTCTTTTTGTATACCTCTAAAATATCCTTTTGTCGTATTTGGTGCATTCCTCGTATCTCTTCAAAATCATCAAAACAATATGACTTTCCATCACTAACTCCTTTCCATTTCAAAATTACATCATATCCATTTACATTAAGTAATCCTACTATAATCCCAACTTCATTTCCTTCTTGGTAATAATAATATGGTCGATTTTCTTTCTTATTTCTTTTGAAACAATGTCCACCTACTGATTTCTTCATGAAACAAACAAATAATGAGATGAGATCCATTTTATTAATCCGACTATCGAATGGTGGTGATGTTTATAATATTCACCAACTCCTTACCATTTATGAATATCGTCACCACATAACTAGTTTATTGTTACAATCATTTGTTTCTATCGTTTTATTCATTTCAAAATCATGTAAATAGTTAAACTATTAAATATAAAGAGTGTTTATAAATTAATAATAATTTACCATTTCACAAAACATATTGTGTATAAACAAAATGATTGATAACACCAGTTGTACTCTCTTAACATTATGATGAAGAAAGAAAATGAATAAGAAAGGAAATGGATAAGAATAACAAAAAATAAATTGAAATTACACAAATGAACTAGTAAATTATATTATAATTAAACCATTTTCAAAACTTATAAAATAAAAATCTGAATGAAAAACAAAAATCATCAAAGAATAACATAAAAACACCATCATTTCTTTATTATTGTTTCTTCATAAACTTGTGTTAGTCATCATGACTTAAACTTATGAAAGAATAATATTTCTTTAAATTGATTTTCTTATTATTAACATGAAATAATTATAGAAATAGAACGTAATACATTCAAATACTAAATAAGAGAATATCTTTAAGTTGTATTTATTTTGAGATTTGTTGATTTATTAATCTATATATAGACATGAATAATTTATTTTATAAATGTTATACTAATAATATATCTCAAATAAACTTTCTTTAGTGAAAGTTCAAGTAAAAGTGGAGATAATAATTATTATACAAATTGTTAGTAAAGATGTGAATGTAAATAACATCAATAATGATTAATTTATGCGGTTATTTCTATTAAAATAATAAAGTTATAAGAGAATAATTAAAAATTACAAAATTATAAAATGAATAAATGATTAATTAATTATATTCTATGAAGAGAGGTGTAAAAAAAAACAAGGAAATTTTATTTAATAACTTAAATTAAATGATGTTGTTTATGAAATGTAATAATTTAAACAACATTAATAAGAATGGTTACATTTGTGGTTGAACTATCATTTCAACAAAACCAATATTCTCCAATGATTCTTTTGAATAAGAGCAAACATGATAAGTTCCTGGTAATAAGTTGAAAATAGCAAAATGATTTTGAATTACTTGTAAATCAATATATCTATTATTACTATTAACTTGTGGATTATGAATACCAATAAATGAACATCTTTCATCATTACAATAAATCATTACTTCAAAAGTATTATTTGTATTTTGTCTTTTTTGATAGAAAATAAGAGGTGAAGAAGATGTATTTCTTATAACAGTTGAGTTAATTCTCATATTTTTTATTATTTCTCTAGCCTCTTCTTCTTTTTTATTTTTAATATTTTCTTCTTCTTCTTCTTTCTTTTGTATTTCTCTCAGTATTTGAAGATTATTATTATTTTCTTCTTTTTGCATTTGTAATTCATTTATACGACTATTTAAATTTATTGTTTGTTGTTGAATATCATTTTTATATTTTTCAAATTGTAATTTTATTTCTTCATTTTGAGCGTTTAATTCATTAACTCTTTTTTCATATTCTTCTTTCACCGTATTAAGTTGTACAATCTTTTTTTTATCTTCTTCTTCTTGTTCGGCTTTAATTTTATTAATCTGCTCTTCAAATTCTTTTTGTTGAATTTTAAATTTGTTAGTCTGTTCTTCATATTCTTTTGTTTTATCACTTAACTCTTGTCCTTTATTTTTAATTTCAAGATCTTTACTTTCTAATTTGTTATATAAGCTTGAATTCATTTTTGAGAAATAACAAATATTCTCATCTGTTTTTTTACATTTTTCCGTTAAATAATCTTTTTCTTCTTTAATCTTCTTTAGTTCTTCTTTAATCTTCTTTAATTCTTCTTCATTTTTAGTGTTTTCTGTATTGTATTGGTTTGTTAATTCCTGAATTTTTTGTTGTAAAATTCTAATGGTTTTCTCTTGATCACAGCAGATGTTATAATTAGTAATAGCAGATTGGTAATATTCTGCAGATCGCCTTGTTAATTCATTTACTTCTATTTGTAGGTCATGATTTATTTGTAATAAGTCGGGGATTTTGTTTAGTTTTTCTAAAATTTTATTTTTTTCATCTTCAAAGGATAAAAAGGTAGACATAATAATATTTATCTTTTATAGTTTTGATTTTTGGCTTTTATTTGAAGTTTAATAAATAATTGTACTGAACAATAAATACACTCAAATCTCTATATAACTTTTTTAGTAAATATTAATTATTATTTAATTATAACTTTCTTTATTTTTCATAAACATCATTTGGATTAGTTATTCTTATGTTTTTTTTCCTTTTTTTGATTTTCAATTTTACAGACAAGTTTTATCACTCATTAAATCCAAAATAAAAATTAAATATCAATTTAAATGAAGAACTATTTAAGTTGATGAAGTTCAAAAAAACTTTAAGTAAAAAGAAATAAGATATATTGAAGAAATTGAACCACTTAATTCTCAACATGATAAAAATCTAATCATTGGATTAATCATAATTAGTTTATTTTTTTTTCTTTCAAATGATTTTTCTTTTTATATTTATCTGAAATAAAAAATGAGAAGAATGACGCCAATTCAGGTATTTAAAACAAATCAAATGATGTTAAAAACTAATTGAATGTAGAAAACTTTTCTTAACAACGTAATTTTTATTTATAGTTTCTTCGTATTACTCAAAATACACAAAATAAATTAATTGATATCAAAATATTTTTTATTCCTTTCTTTTTCTTTTATTATTTTATTAATTAAATTTTCTTGAAGACTAAAGATGGCTCGTCTGAAACACCACACACAAACATTAATACATTTCATGCACTGACTCTCCTAGTTATTATCTGTTTATGACGGTATATTTGAATTAGAAATATATTAGGTAAT